GTGTACTAACCGCATGACGTCTGTACCTTTCATTCCTTCCTAATTACATTTTTACAATCGGTTTCTTCGGTGGTTGACCGGCCATCAATTTCTTGGTATTTCTAATCTTAAAGTTTCCATATTTTAATGCTTCCCTACTCGTATCTACTACCCTCTCTATTCCTTCCTTGTAGAACAGTTTTTCATTTTTCATAAAATACCAAATCAGTTCGTCTTACGCCTTCAGCAGAACAAGTCTCTTCTCTTCTCCTTTCGTTACGCCAGTTGTTGTTAAGTTGTAAATATATGTTGTTGTTGTCTAGTTTTAATTATTCGTTTTCTAAGTCCTCCTCAAAACCTTCTATAACAAAGTGACCCAAACAAACTGACGAAAAGTCAAATTTAAGTTTATCGTTAGTTAAGCTTACCTCAAATTTGAGTTTCATTTTCTTCAAAACGACCTCTACAACGTTATAGTAATTTTTCCTACAGCATTTTTCTGAGTGTACCGGGCCGAGTACTCAGCACAGCTAATGCTGGGTACTCGGAAAAATCACTAGCCGGTGTATCTCTAGTCCAGGCCTCTGGACTACATCGCTCGGTTTTGTACAGTCACAGAAAATATAAGAATGTAGAAGCAAAAGCGTACCTAAGGGTGGATTTTCCTGTTAATGCAGCGAGCGACATTGTCTAGAGCTTAAGGCCATTGCTTATCATTCGGGAGGACGCCGGTTCGATTCCGGGTCCGTTTGCCTTGGTTTCTATGGCTTCTTAGGCAAATACTAGGGCAGTAACATACCAGAAATAATCTATAATTTCTTCTGTCTTCATTTCGTCCGTGGTCCGTCTCATCTTTCTCACCCGAACCACCACCCACCCATTCCCATGATTTCTGAAAGGAGGCTGAAGAGGGCCTTTACCCTTACCTTCCGGCCAAGTCCGGAGGGACTGCCCGCCCACCAGCATCAGTGGCTGGTAGGAAGGAACACCCAAAAAAAATTTTTTTTAATGCAAGAACATCTCTAATACAATGTCAACTTTGTTTTCCATAATTATAAAACAACTGTTTTTTTTTATTAAAAACAGTTTTCTATATTTATACTTAATACTACTTGACCCTAAATAGTATCTATACAATAAAGAAAAAAACGTCAATAGCCGGCAAGTTTGTTGTTCATGTGCAGACATGTATTGGTTTTCGTAAAATTTAATATTTCAGGGACATCGTAATCGAACAATTCCGGTATATCTGTCGTCGAAAACTAAAATTCAGCAAGAGTTGTGCGACTGCTTAGGCGTTCTTTTTAGCTAGTATGCAACATTCAATAAAAATCAATGAAAATACATTTTTAGCTGCGTTTTCTCCGCAAATCAAAAATGCCGGGCTACAGAACATTCAACCATTTGTAATAAGTCTTAAAGAAGTATGCTATTAATATTTATTGAATAAAAAACGCATCTTAAGGAATTCAGACAATATTATTTGTAGTTTTAAAAAAGCATTGGAACGGTTGCAAAAATTTGTCTGAATTTTTCAGATAAATCAATAGCTATCGTTCGTAAGTCAGGAGGTCGAATATTTAAACTTGACCTTAGATCAAAATCTTATGAATTAATGGGTTATATTTTAATTAAACAAAAACGTTTTAGAATGACAATGTTGTTTTATTATAAAAGAATTGCGATTTTTTAATTTTTAGTAAGTATGTATTTCAGTGATTATAAAGAGTTTTGATTGGTCTGGTTTACTAAAAAATCGATTTATTTTGAATTGTTGCATAGGTACAATATACGAATGTCTTTCTGTCTCTAACATTAAAATAAAGCATTACAATTGTGAAATATAAGCTGCGGAATTTGCTAAATAAATGCTAAACTTAGCAAACAGTAACATGGTCAAAAAGTGAAAGTATATTTTACCTATTGGTTACGATTGCTTGTTTTTTACTAGAGGAGAACTACACTTGTAACGAGAGAATTTCTAGAAATAATATTAGAAAATATATCTTTTTCGTAAATTTAAAACAGTGGTTTTAATTTTTGTTTGCCTCTTTTGGGTAGATCCTTGCCCTTCCGTTGCGCCTTCGAAATGCGAAGATGCGAATTGTTGGAGAGAAACATTTAAAAAACTTTTTAAGTTTTATGCATTTATTAATTAAAACAGCACAAATTGCAAATACAGTAAAATTAAAAAAATCGAAACGTGGTGTTACCGGCGAATGATGAGGATGGTGTGGATAGAGAAGGTTAGAAATGAAGGGGTATTAGAAATAATAGGAGAACAGAGGACTGTATGGAAGTCAATAAAAAATAGAGGAGATAGGGTGGTAGGACATCTTATCAGGCATGAATATTAGAGGCAGAAACAGGAGTTAAAAGGAGTAGAGGTAGACCTAGATTAGATTATTGTTCGGAAATAGTTAAGGATGTGGGATATTCTAGTTTTAGGGAAATGCGAAGATTAGCTCAGGATAGGCAGGAGTGGAGGTTCATGTTCAACCAGTTTTAGGACTGACGACCTTATTATGATCATTGGTCATTCGTAATTCGTCTGATTTTTTTTGTAAGAAGAATGGCCTCCGATTGAAAGTTGATTACAAGTAGTATGAAAATATGAAAAAGCTAATATCGGAAGCTTCCTCGCTATAGTTCATAGTGAAGGATAAGTAATAGGTAGTAACACGACATGTTTCATGAATGCTTCTGTATGGAATCTATAATAAAATCAATCCCCTTTGGTAATTTCATAGCCAAAACATTCTCATACCCAGGTACTATCTGTTTTATCTGAATTATTATTCCATTTATGAAAAGCCAGAATCCGGTCACAACATGTTTAAATGGGATCCATTCTCATGGACCGTCTTTTAACTTTCGTACGCCCCCCTTTTTTGTTTGTTCGATGGCATAGACCTTTTACAGTTTAACGTCAGCCCATAGGGGTCGATATATGTCACTTTGATAAATAATTATTGTTTTACTTTATGTCATTAAAAAATTGGTAAAAAATATATAACAGACTTTACAGACATTATTTTTTGTTTTAACTTGCAGAAACTATATCTGTTAGCTTTGGTAATTTGGTTTTGAGCTTTTAATGAGCGAGATCAACTTTCAATATTTAACTTAAATAAAGCTTTTAATGATGCTTTTGTAATTCATTAACCATATATAAAGGTTGATTAAAACACAGATGGGAGTGCTCATCTCATATTTAATAAATAATTAATGGATTTTATTTATTCAAGGGCTAAGAATGATAAATGATCGCGCTGCTTTATCTAGGGTGGTCCGTTGTAATATATAATAAAAAATATCTCGGTGTGAATTCAATTAAAAAATGACCTTTACAAAAATTGTTGGGTTCTAAGGGCGTTATCTCGATTTGTGATTGGGCATTAGGTCGGGGTTTAAAAAAATTTTTTAATCCGTTAAATTCAGATTACGCAATAGAAAGTAGGGTTTATTGCTATCTAAAAGATCAGATTGGACATCTCAGGGCCTCATCAGGGTTTACCGGACCTGGTTATGTAGAGTCAGATGATCCCTCTTAAAATCTGACAAGGTCTGTAGAGGTCATTTATCGATTTGATATTTTTCTGGCGGGATATTAGACAAAAACACGTTTATTGGGCCCGTGTAAGCCTTTAATAAATGGAATTTTCAATATACGTTTCGGATAGTTAACTCTTTATAAAAAATACCTAAGTCGTTTAAATGATAAGAAACGTTTTTTGTACATATTAGTCCAGGCAATATAGGCAAGTGAGTGGGAAAAATAGAATAACTATTTTTATGTACATTACTACTTTCACAAATTCATAATTCGAAAAATATTAATTTTACAAAAAAAAAACAGACTTTTTTATCGAGAATAACGCAAAAAATATAAGAAACAATAGAACGTGTAATTATACAACACGCTACTGAAATGAAACTTCTTCAAACACATAAACATACCGGAATAGGGGTTAAGGAATTGGTTTATTGGTATTATTAGTACAATATGCTTTGCACGGGTGCAATACTGATGTTAAATATACTATAGAATGTCTTTATATACAACAATCACAGATTTTTTTGAAAGCGGCCGGTACCGCCGCAACCACTGTCCCTGCATTTTAAGTCTGTAATATCTTCGAAAATATTCATTTAAATTACATGCTGTAAAGGGCCATATTGATCTATATTAAATGCACAATGTATTTAAAAGTACTTAATTGCATAAGGATTCATGCATCGCTTCGTAAATAAGCCATTACTTCTCGTAAAAAGTAAAGGATAAAAAATGGTTATTGTCGGTTATCCTTAAGAGATAGACATATACCATCCTGGACTTTTTTGTAGACCTTTTTAAGGTGTACAATACTGTAGTATATTATTTTGATCTATTCGGCCAGCGTTTGCAATGTAAGGGCAAAAAAATGCGTTTATTTGCGACATCACATTACAAACCTAAAATTATCAGAGTTTCTGTACTATATTATACATATAAACCTTCCTTTTGATTTCCTGTATCTATTAAAAAAAACCGCATTAAAATCCGTTGCGTAGTTTTAAAGATCTAAGCATACATATAGCAACTCGCATAAAACGAATTAACCCTACTGTGCGTAAAGAAGTTTCACTTCAAAAAATTGTTTCGCCCAAAAAAGTTGTTTTTTAGCATTTGTTTTAACAATCGTATTTAAAATAAAATCCGACCGGTTTACCGGCTGGCAACCTGTATAATTGTATTCAGGAGAATGTTTATCTGAATAATTTTTCTTACTCACCCGCCTATTTTGCCTGAATTAAGTATATTGCTATACATTAAAAGTGTTCTATTTGTTTCAGAACTGTTTGGCCCGTGCACTTTATGACAATGTCGCCGACAGTCCTGACGAATTGGCATTCCGGAAGGGTGACGTTTTGGTCGTTTTAGAACAGAATGCTGGAGGTAACGAGGGATGGTGGTTATGTACCCTAAGAGGAAGACAGGTTAGTAAATAAACAATAATTTTATTATTCGTTCGTCTGCATGTGCAGGAGGTGCCATATGAGGATAACGTATTGAATCCATTGCATCAATTTGATGCAATGTCTCTCGAAAATGGTGACGAATTAATGCAGAATATTTTACGTAAAATATTCCACCCTCGTATAGTTATGTACAATGGCTGTATTAAGTCAATATTTACATTAGTTAATTGCACTGTTAAAGGTTATAAATTTTAAAACATGATCCTATGTTATTTATGGTAATGCTTTTTCTTCTGAATTTTAAAAAGATGGCTTTATTTTTATAAAATGGCACATTAATAATACCTCACTTCTTGCCATTTGTTTGGAAATTCTATTTATCCTCAAATATGTACCAAATTCTTTTGAAATATTTGAAGTGGTTTATATTTTTTCAAGTATGCCTATTGAAAATATCTCCTCTGAAAACAGTCCTAAATAAATTGAACTCTTCTTTTGATAAAAGCGTAATACCCCACAAAAGCTTTAAAATACATTTATTGATCTTATTGCATAATTATTTATATGAAAAGATTATTGAAGGTATTTGCATAAATTTCCCTGAACCACGTCGTAATTTTCAAAAAAAGAAAAATGTTGCCGCCCTTAAATGATTGCATCGACTATTTATAGAACACCCTATGTTGGGTTATAAGTTCCTTTTTAATTTTTATATTAAACAATAAATATTCACATAAAAATGTTTCCAAGTTTTACGTCTTTTATAAATAAATATATTTTTAGATGTCCAAATAACTTCATTTTCTAAAATTAATCATGATTGTATTTCAAAAAAAATTTATTGATTAAAATCATCTCAACTCTGCCTGGTGGTAAAATTAAACTACTAATACTTTACAGCAGATGAATTATTAGATGGTGTTTACAATGATATTTTTATTATTAAATTTAAAATATTTAGAGGCTGTCAAAGTAATGTTAATAAAAATATTACTGCATTTTTCATAATTTACCAATGTCGTTCTTTGCGTACGAACAAAAATAGTTAAAATAACAACACTATTTTCCTATTCTTTGCTATTTTGTTAATGTTTTTTTAATGTATTTATTCAATTCGTCTTATAAAGTTATGCTTGACTGGTATTCTAAGGGATGAATGAGGTTTAAGCGGTAAAAATTAAAGTTTGTTTAAGAACCATTAAAAAAAATTATTTGACTATCATTAGATTCAATATTTTCCCAACAAGGCGTCAAATATCTTCCCGCATACACTATGTTTATTGGAAGTCATAAAACCAACGGGTTGTTTTTTTAAAGTGAATAACGCTACACCATAAAATTTACACTATACTTATTATAGTTGTTAGCCGTGTTGCTCGTATAGGTACTGTTATACATGAAATACTCCACTTGCTAATTAACTACATTCCTAATATTATACAAAATTAATAAGCACTTTAAAATTTTAAGAAAAAAAAAGTACGTACAGGAGGTGCTCATTACGTCATAAATATTTGACCACATCGCATTTTTTAAGGAAAACTTAATGATGGCGGATTATTTGTGTAAAAAATTAAGTTAGACATATTTATGATTAATTTTATAATTTTAAAAGAATAGCTTTAAAGGATAAGTTAGGTTGGGTTATACAAAAATATTGATATATTAAGGCTTAAAAAGTAGGATTGGAAGTAATATAAACAAGGGAGACGATAAACTAGAAATAATTTATTTTCGATGTTTAGGGAGTAAGTGCTAGGGCTACTGATAAAAAATAAGAAATAGTACAAGGTTGTGTGTTCGTTTTTATCAAAGACGTTTAGGATAGTAATATTAGTTATAAAATTTCATTTTAGTTTCGGAAATTTGACCTTTTTTTATTCTAATTTATTCATAGTGATGTTCGACCATTTGGGTCATTTTACAACCCAATTCGTAATCCTCATCGGGTTTTCCCAAATTGAGATAGTTAGGTAGTTTTAGTTGGATCTTTCTCTATATCTATTACGTTACAAATACATTATATGTATATTCATCAGTAGATAATATATTCATTTTCCACCTATTTACTTCTACATTTACATAAACTCTTAATTAATACAAATCAGTCAGCACAAGTCTTTCGTTACGTTTTCAATCCAATCAAGCCTTTGTACATTTTTTTATTTAGTATTTCCATTGTATATATTTCTTCGTTCAATTACTTTAGTTTATTTGGTTAGTTAGTTTCACGATAGCTTTAGTTTGTACTTATTTTTTAAATATTCGGTTTTTAATTAATGAATGAATTAAGTTTCTTAAAACCATTAAGAGTTTGGGAAAAGTAGTATAATCACCGCTTGCTTTTTCTAAAGTTGAGTGTCTTATAATAAAAAGAAATCAGTTTAGTACGCAAGCTTGGTTTCAATTTGCAAATTCGAAAACGATTAGTAAGGATGTATGTTTGGAGCACGGTTTTGTATGAGCGCTGCGGAAAAAAAATTTTAGCGTTTTAAATGCGGTGTTATAGTAAAATATTAAAAATACCGTGGATGAGAGAAGTTAGAAGAGGTACCTTAGAAAGTGTAGGAGAACAGGGGGTGGTGTTATGAATATCAATAAGAAATAGGCGAGATAGGTTACTTTCTGGACTATATTTTACGAAAAAGGTAGAAACATTAATTATTAATACATACATCTTTCTGATAAAATAATTCGAAGTGGTATGTATTCTGTCGAAATCGCGATTTCGATCTTTTTGGATCCCATCAGCGCGTTGTAGGCAGCTTCGACAGAACACAGACCAACTTTTACCTGCTGTCTTAGCAGTGCGTTTTGGAAAATTCCACAAATGGCACAGTAAACGCCATCTGTAGTACGATGCTACATTTTAGGATTACGTATGCTCCAACAAGATCCACTTGTGTGGATATCTACTTGCTGAAACGAATCCCGGCGTAGCTAACCTCAACGTAGTAGGCACATTACCATTTTTTATATATCTTTCTGTTTAATTAATAAATTAAAAAAAAACAAATAATAATGTCTAGGGGGCGCTGATTAATATTTTTTCTGGAGAGGGAGCGGTAGGCCAAATAAATTGGTAGACCGCGGTCCACATCCGGGCCGCGGAAGGTTAAATCTTTTGAAAAATACGACGTGGCTTTAAATTGCATTTAGTAAACTTGTATAATATTTTGTTGTTATTATGAAAAGATGACTTAAGATATTTATACAAATTTCCCCATACTACGTCGTGTTTTTCAAAAGATTATACCACATTTTGATGATTGCGTCGAATAGAATATCCATATGTTCGGTTATTATTTAGCTATTTGTGGATATATATCTTTAATTTGTTTGTTAATACAATGAAATATCCTACGTAAATAATTGAGGTTTTCAACATATCAAAACCTCTCTTCTCGTGTTTTACAAATGCTGGTCGCGTTACTGCAAAATTAATATTATTTACAAGGAATATAAAAAAACACCTGATTAAAAAAAAATAATATACAGATTATCAGAAAATTTTTAACTATAATCGAGTAGCTAATTATGTATAATTAAGTTGTGTAAGTATACGACGTTAAATAGCTTTAGAGATGTGCAAAATTGTTATTTCAAATGTAAAATACAAAATAGATTTCTTTTTCGTATTTTAAATGTTAAATGCAAAATACGTATTTTCAAAACATTTTTTTCAAATAAATGCTTTTTTGTAGTACCNTTTTCTAATTTTTTAAATGTTGGACTTTTTATAGACTAACGGTGGTTTTTACACTATATCACCATCTACGAAGATTGAGTATGATTCATATTTTTCTGTTTGAAGTGATTAAGATATAGTTTTTCTATCTTTATGTTATTGTTTTTTTTTTCAGTTCAACAACAAATAATTCTTCTATATGCTTCCTTATTTGCCTTTGTCACTCGTGTTAATAGGAAAAAAGGCACTGATGCCAAAATCGTTTCTTTAGCGTGAAAGATCAGAGTCAAAATATGGTTGCAAATAATTGTATTGATGTAAAATCAACATCAATAATTTTATATCAAAATATTTACAAGCGCAGTTTGTTTCCGATTTTTTACACATTGTAATAAGAGGAAGAAATGGAATCCATAGTTTCTTTAGCTTTGGGTTCATTTAATAAGTGAAGTTTTTCGAATTGTTTTTTAAGAATTGCGGATTATAGGCATTTATTAGCACACCATAATATCTTGTAGTTTTCAGTTTTACACAGCTGGCGTTCACTTCGATATTGTTTTGCGGGCTGTTTTATCGTAATTCAAAGAACTTCGTAGTTCCTTGCTAAAGGTACGATAAGTGGTGATTTGGCAGGTGCTGATATCAATTTGGAACTTCAAAATTCCACTGACCTGAACCTTGAAATCAANAAAACTTATAGAAATAGAAAATACGTTTGGAAAAGTATTTTAAATAAAATACAAAATGCTTTTCTCAAAAAAGTATTTAAATTCAACTCAAAAGTAGGTATTTTTTATTTTGTAAGTATTCATTTTAAGTGCAAGCACATATTTCAAATAAATCACATCTCTGCATAGCTAGCAAAGTATATTAAATAAAAGCATGTACAGGTAAAGAAATTAAACGTGCAAGATGAGAAATACGTCCAACTTATATTTCTATTCGTAGTAAGGATGTGTGTAACGTATTTTGTTTGCGCCAGATTTTCATTTATCTGAAGGTTGTTAAGTCCGCATTCGGAACCATCCACATACTACCCACACAACCCCTGCACGTGTCAATTGTTTCCTCAGTCATTACAAAGGGTAGTGCCCCTACAGCATTTGGATATAATTCTATTTATGCCAAACTGTGCACATATGAGCGTAAGGGTGACTAATTTTAATATTGATGACGTTCTAACTTCTAACTTATTGATCGGAGTTAATATAAAACAGAATAAGTTATGGCAAATTGTGAAATAATCTGATTAATAACAATCAAAAGAAAAACAATTTTTACAAAATTTTTTCCTATTTATTTCATGTCGACTGAAGTTTTGGTTTATATT